CTTCTTGGGAGCACAAGAGACCATCCATGATGTGAGGTGGAGATACTGGCAGTTGGGATGTTGAGACTTGCCTTGTTTTTGACACAGGAGATCCTTGACTAGTGGTAAAGTTATCGGCGACCAGATGGGAGAATTGATGCATGTGTGTGAACCAATACTGTTTAGGCCACACCAGTGCAGTAAGGATTAATGTTGTTTTATCTCCTTTCCATTTCCTGAGTACCCTTGGAATGCAAGGAACTGGAGGGAATGCATATAAGAAGATGACTGGATCAAGGGAGAATGTGATGGAACCCAAGCGGCAGCCCACCCTGAAGCAAAGTCTAATGCACTTGTTCAGGTTGGTTGCGAACAAGTCTATTGCTGGAAACCCCTAGCAGTGGAAAAACTGAAGGAGAATGTCCTTTCTGATTGACAACTTGTGTTGGTCTAAGAAAACCCTGCTGAGAGAATCCACAACTGTGCTCCTCACTCCTGGAAAGTGGAAGGCCTCCGAGGAAACGTTGTGACATATGCATAGATTCCATAGGAGGGTAGCTTTCTGGCATAGTTGAGATTATCGAGTGCATTGGACACATATACCTGTAGCAGAATGTGCCTTCACAAAATCTCTCAAAGGAGAAGGCAGGATTCTGTCTTGAAACTAGAATGTCAGCTGTTTATTCCAGTGTGTTGGCACTTTAGGCCTGAAAGAAAGAAGGGTTAAAACTGCAGTAGATAAATTTGTCCTGGTTTGCTAATTGAAACTGATCTCTCCCTTCCCTCTGAAAACAGATTACTAAAGCCAGTTTAGAGAATGATGAGTGCTCTGGTGTGGCTAAAACCCAACAATACTTTTTATTTTAATCTCAAACTGCACTAAAATCCAACAGCAAAATTAGGACACTATGGCAAGAACCCATCCAGAGCAAAGCTGTTCTCGTCCAAAGCAGTCAGAGGTCAACTTCAGTTACAACCCAAGAGCATCAGACTCACGTGTGCATGTCAAAGGATAATGTTTAATAAACTCTGCTAATGTTGAAGGCCACCTCCCCCTGAGCGGATGCAGACAACGGCAGCTTATGAGAAGGGCAATCAAACACATCAAACACCATATAGTTCCAATCTTCATAACACCCACAATCTTTATAACACCTCTTATCACTAGAAAATCTGATTAGGCAAACTCCTTATGTATGACACACCCAAGGACCTGCCCAGACCATCTGAACACACTCTGCATCAGAGCATAAAGCAAGCACAGGACAGCGCTAGGAACTGCAAGTATGACCCCCAGCTCTGGGACACTCCATCTGTAGCTTTTGCCATGTCACTTCAACTCTGCCTTCAAAGTTCCCTCCAAGAGTGCACGAGACGCATAATTAGCGTTTAATATAAGCTTTTTGGGAAGATACATTACAAAGGTGCCATCTGTCAAACATACTCTGCTCTTTCCCCAGAGATTACAGACAGCTGACCACTATGGGAGTGAGTAAACAAAAAGGTTCAGATGGGCAGTCTCTGGGACATTTTGCAGCAGTAGAAAAAGATCTTGGTGAATCCAGCTCTAACGTGGGGTGGGCAAAATCCATCTTGAGGAGCTTCCTCTTTAATATTAGAGAAAACTGGATGCTCATGAGGCTTTGAAGGATCTCTTCCATACACAGACGACGACATGAGAAGCTGCCCCATAGTGTCCCGCACCAATTCAGTCCTATTCTAATCACAGCTACCTCTCTTAAGGAGGCGGGGTGTTCAGTCAGTTGCCTTGGACCTGTGCCAATTTGGGTGGTGGTGGGCAGACCAGGGGTCTCAAACTCAAATGACGAGGGCCACATGAGAACTAGTACATTGGCCCGAGGAGGGGTGAGGGGTGCGGCAGGGGGTCAGGGTGCAGGAGGGGGCTCAGGGCAGTGGGGGGAGCTGTGCGTGGTGGAGCAGGGGGTTCAGGGCAGGGGGTCAGAGTGCAAGGTGTGGCATGGGGCTCAGGGCAGGCAGGGAGCCTGCCCTGCCCCCGCTGCGCGTCAGGCCCAAGCCGCTCTAGGTAAACGTGGGGGGGGCCCCGTGAGGAACTCGCGGGCCGCAGAAAATAACCCCGTGGGCCGCATGCGGCCCCCGGGCTGCATGTTTGAGACCCCTACAGTAGACGTAGGTACCTGCCCACAAATCACTAAATACTCAACTAATTTCACCAGGTCATCAGCCAATCATAAGTTGGTGGTGGCAACATCAACCAAGTCTAATCCAGACGGCTAACCTTCTGACTGGCAACCTGGCATGCACAAGTCTTTCCCACGTGCAATTGCTGCATTTGAATCACAAAAAGGCAAAGGATCTCCTATTCTTTTTCTTTGGGGCCTGAGCAGTGTGGTTTTCCCTTCCCTTTGCACAGGTGCTCAAGAGAAGGGCTATAGCTGCTTAGGAAAGGAGAGAATGCCTGTGGGAATGTTAAGCAGCTGAGGTGCAGGACTACTAGTTATTTCACTGCTACATGTGCTTCCCCCATGTTTGTTGCATCCACCTGCTGTCTTATCTGGCACTTGTATTCAAGCTTTCCAGGGCAATGACGATCTTGATTATGTTTGCACAGTGCCTAGCACAATCAGGCCCTGATCTCAGAATGCCGCTATATGATGCTGCAATAAAAATAAACCATGTTTGACTCCATACCCAAGAGCAGAAGATTGGGTGGATCCTCACTCTTTTCTTTTCTGTTTGACGACATTTTGCTCTGTTCTGGAAACTTACCATTCAAGGTACAGAGACCTCCTCTTCCCATCCCCAACAGATACAAACCACAAACCTCCCCTTCCTCCCCAAAAGAGGGCACAACATAAGAGACTCCACTGCAATTTCTTGGTTCTTGAATATGTATTTTTTACTGAAAAATCATTCATAAATTAAATACAAAAATGTACAAACACATGGGTAAATAAATGTAATGATACAAAGGATTGCTCTGCTGAAAAAAGTGTGTGTGTGTGTGTGTGTGTGTGTGTGTGTGTCTTAAAACACTACATTTCAGTGCAAACATGTACCCTGGCACCTCTTAAAAACATAAGAGTACGTTCAAAAGCCATGATGGTGGACGGATACTACCTATGGTTTAACGCCACCTCAGACAGTGGGTGACTAGAAGTATGTGACTCTTGCTCAGTTGGTAAATTCGTTATAGAAGAAGAGGATCTTTAAAAAAATAATGAACTTTAAATAAATATTTTAGCAAATAAAACTCCACATGGCTTGTTAAAAAAAAAAAAAAAAAAATCAGCACTGAACATGCCCTGACTCCCAGCAAGGTTAGTAGACAATGTTGACATATAAGGGGTGCACAAGTGGCCTTGTTGAATTTCAGCTGCCAGAATATGTACAGTTCTTTTTACTATGAGAATTTTTACACCATAACAGCACATGCGCTTGACAAAGTGTTTTAACAATTACATTTCTACACAATATTGACTTAGCTGATAAGATTAACAGTGCACATTTTAAGATATTCCACATTTTAGAGAGAGGGAAAAACTCAACCTGATTGACAAAAAAAAATGCAAAGAGTGACATTGATTAGCTGTGAAACGGGCACTTTCAGGCCAACCTTAAATGAGTACATTTCTGAGTAGAGGTAATGCCTTTTTTGTTCAAAACATAGGGTGCAAGAGATGGTAAATATACAATAAAGACTGAGGATTCAAACTAAAATACAGTAACATCTACTCACACATGCATTCACAATTCCTGTGGTGGTGAATTTAGACCATTTGAAATACATTCCTTGTTTGAAGCACCATTAAAGACATCAGTTGCTAGCAACATTTCAAGATTAAAGAAATGAGGGGGAGAGTAAAGGTTCAGCATTTGAAAAGGATCCACAAGAATTACAGAGATCAAGAATCAGAAGCAAGAGAGTCTTTATTGCTATATGTGCCATAAAAAACAAACTATAAATAACCTTCAAGAAACAATTTTAAAGCACATGTATTCCAAGACTTTAAACCTAAATTACAAACTTACCAGCACTTTCAAGGGCAGATGAACTGTCCTTTCATGCAGGCTGACAAGATCTACACAACAAGAACTCCATGTTTTCTAAACCAAAGTTATTCTCAAGAGACAAAAAAGAGCCCTGGTCAATCACACCCACAGCAGATGTGTATGGGGATCATATGTCCATGGAACCAAGAAAATAATGTAAACCATAAGAGTTAAGGAAACAGAAGGCAAACAATTCAATAAAAGAAAGTTAAAGTACTTCTGAGCTTAAATACTCACAATCTCTTTATGTAGATATATAAAAAAACAACCCAAAGCACTTTTACCATATAGAAGTCGAGTAAAAGTGAGTTTGTACATACTGTATAAGTGATGGATTGGTTTTAAACCAGAAAAAAACAACCCTAAAACAGGCACAACCCAAGGAGAACAGTTTAGAAAAAAACCTAAATCTGTAAAACTGGATGGGGACAACAACCAAGCACTTCAGTTCTGGATACTCATGTTTTCCTGAACCAATTAGAATGCCCTTCATTTTTTTCTCATTATGATTTTACATCTGTGGATAAATCTAGCTCACTATTTGTAATTGTGGAATGCATTCCCTGGCTAAGGATTATAACCAAGGGTTCTACCTACAGTTAGAACGTACATTAGTTCAGTGTTCTGTTCAATTTACACAATAAATATATCAAAATATTATTTCATGAAACAAAAATGTTACATTAGAGGAATCGCTGTAGAACGTTGTTAATTCAGGGGCAGATTTAATAAACTGCAGCTGACTGCCCCAAACTAAAGACAGTGACTGAGGAGGGAAGGTAAGATTTTTGCATGGAAACCACACAGGCCTACTGGTGAATTTTGGGGGGAGAGGGGGAGAGAGAAGAGGAGGAGGGATGTGTTTGAATAAGTCTAGAATCTAAGCTTGCACTTGCCACCACTGTGGAATAGAGGGTAATGGGCAATGAAAACCCAACAGGAATAAAATGGGAAAACTCCGTATGAACTATAATTTACACATCTACACATTTTCTACCACACAATGATATGAGCTGGATATTTGTTCTTTCATGAAGTTTCCCTTATCCCTCCCTTCTCCCAAAAAGCCCCTGCCATTTCCGTAGTATGCAATGATGTGGCTCCATATTTCTGAACCCCGGCATCCTACCAACTAAGGCCCCTATCCTGTAAACACCTACGCTTAACTTTACATCACTGGGACTACTCACATGAGTAGAGGGATTTGCTCAGGAGTAAAGTTATGTACGCATTTGCAGGATTGGGGCCTAAATGAGTGACCTTAATATGTAAACCTTTAGCTTGAGTTTCAATTGTAAAAGAAAATAAAAAGGCATTTTACACAGCTTATTTACACTTACACTTCTTTAAGAAGCGATTCTGTGGTATATACTTCAAGCAGGTCATTAAAAAAACCACACAAATGTAGAAGAATGGTATCATCTTAAGTTTCATTTGATCTCCTATTAGGGCAGTTGCCTACTGGGTTGCTTCTGGCATCCAAACTCAAGACGCCAACAGAGTCATTCAGCCAAACTGGTTCCGTGAGAAGAAAGCACGTCAGATCACTGTTGTGATATTGAGATTGTTGGAGGAGACGGAATGCAGAGATGAGAGCAGCAGGTCACACCATCGTTCATAAAACCAGAAAGCGAGCGAAGTCCCCGAGCTTGTTGCACAAACAATTGGACTGGGCCAGACGATTTGTGCGTGCACTTTCAATTTTATTCTTCGAAATACTGTGATCCTTCATTAGACAATGTGTTTCTTGACCTTGGTAACTCTATAAAAGAATGTCTAATGTGTTGCTTTCTTGGTGAAGGGCAAAGCAAACTTATTTTCTCCTCTCAGTATTCGTTTACCAGAGCCAGCTCTGGTGTCAGGTTAACAGTTATGTTTTTATACAAGGCGTCATATGTAATGTTTGGAAAGTAGTTCAAGTTACTGAGACCGTCCAGGACTTGCCTCTCTTTTGACTTCCTCAGCAACGCATACCTGTTTAAAGAGAACAAAAGATGGATGTAGCCACTCCCACACTGCTCAAGGCTGCAGAAATTTAGGCTAAGAGCTACTACACGCAGTCCCAACAAGAACAAGAAAAAACTAACATGAGAAAATCCTCCTGAACACAGACCCCTTAAAATAGATGTATAAGAGACAACTCCAGCATTTAGACACGTAAATATTTAATACACTTTGCAGAAATAAAATTTTGATCCACCGTCTGGAGTGATGCATAGCACAGACCAGAATCAGATCAGTGTTATTTTTCTAGGCTAGTATGTTTTCTGTGTGTCCAGCTGGCACAGTTTTGTCAAACTGTCAATATGCACAGAAATAAGAATTGGTAACTTCCTTCCCAAAAACGGTAGATCATGAGGACACAAAGCAGCTGAATGACTCCAGGTGTTTTCTGCATGCCCCTATACAAAAATAAGACATGGCCTTCATCCCACAGAACTTACCATTTAAGTGAGACAGAGCAAACGGGGGGGGGGGGGGGGGGGGGGGGGGGGGGGGAAGAGATGACAAAATAAAGCCACTCACAAGAGCAGGAGCAAATGGCATTGGACTAGTGGCAGGCAGAAGCCAGAAAAACTGAATTTGAGGAGGGGGAAAGCAAAGGTTCTTGACACCTCATTTCAGGGTTGGGGCAGCGTGGAAGAGAGTCACAAAGGTACAAGAGACAGCATAGGGTGAGAAGAAACAGATGGAAACATACAGGCAGGGTAGGTTCTTTGGTACTTGCACAGCCCTCATTACTGTAGTATCTACGTGTTTCACAATCTTTTAATGCTTTTCCAAAGGGGGGGGGGTTAAAGTAGAGCACGAAGACTTTGAACTTGGTTCAATGAAATATTAAATCAGTAAAGGAACATGGAGGTGAAGTAGTTAATGTTACAGGAGCAGCAGGAAGAGCTTTATCTGGAGCACACTGGATAGATTGAAGAGGGGGAAGGAGTGAGTCCAGAATGGAGGTGATTACAGTAGCCCAAGCAGGAGAAAAACAGTGGCATAAGATACAGATTTAGCAGTGGGGATGGAAAGGACACAGCAGAGGGAGAAGTAGCAGCGAAGATCTGGCAAGAGATTGGGTGTGGGGAAATTGACAATCAGCTCAAGGTTTGAGTGAACAGACTAGGAGTGCGTCAGTAAGGACAATGTACAGGGAAGTGAAGTTCCATTTGATCAATTAAAAGTCTGAGAAATAGTGGGATCCAGGAGGAAATGTGGGGAGGCTGGAGGTTCATCAGCACAGGGCTCTGACATTACAGGAGCAGTCAGGCAAAGCTGTTTACACCAGTGACATCAATGTAAAGCAAGGCTAAGTTGCACCGGGGCAAATACCAGCTTTGGCCCATCTACACTAGGGAGCACCCTGGAGTAAATACACTGGTGGCTGTAACCAGACCCCATACTGGACAAAGCCCTAGTCTACAGAAAAAAGGGGAATAAAGGAAAAAGTGTTAGCTCAAAGCCTTTGAACTGAGTCAGGTAGCCCTGTCACTGTAAGCTTTACAGTCAGCAGTGGGCTACGATGTTATGCTCTGATGTGTAATACCTCCAACTAGCAAGCTGAATGGCTTAAAAAAATAATCAGACTGCTTCAAAACCCTCTGAAACATACTATCAGGTAGCAACGCTCCTCAAGCGACTGTTGCCAAATAAGTGACAGCAGTTCACTGGATGCACGCTGACCATCAGCCTACAAAATTCCAGATCTGATGAAACAAAGGAGGCAAATCTAAAGCTCTCATTTCCACTGCACTGTAAAGCCCTTTGATGCTTCAGAGAAACTGAACAATTGTGACATTTTCCCCTGAAACTGACGTCCTTGGTTCAGCTACAGAGAACTGAAATGGTAGAAACTTATTTTCCTCACCATAATCTGTTTGGTAGCAAAATGAAAGCTAGATATAGAGAGGAAAAAGATTTTTATCTCTATCAAATGGAAGCTCGGAGAACAGGAAAGTTGATGCTGGAAAGAGGCCCAGAGCTTAATGAACTGCTGGTTCATTCCCTGCTTGAATTTGCAGTTAATTCAAAAAGTATTAGCAGGGTGAGCTTTGTGAGTTTCTCTTCTAGAGCTCTCCTAGCAGTTCCTGTTCTGGTATTAGTAGTGATAATACAATGTATAGCTAATTGCCATTCTAAACAAACAGTTGTAGCTTGTGAGGTGTTAAGTCACGTAATTGTTCACAGATAAAACATTCCCATGGGTTCTGTTAAACAAGCCCTTTCGTACCACTGCATACTGCTCGCTCATACGCCTCCAGGGGCCCCTCTGGAAAACAGGGGACAGCACGTGTGCATTTATGCTTCCAGAAACAGCTCTCTGGGCCCTGTTGGAATGCCAATCCTGATACACAATCTAACTCTTTACATCCTCTTGAACAGGAACAAAACCTAATGATGTGGAGCTTTTCCCGGTGACTCGGAATACTGTATCACCTAGACTATAAGCTTTGTGGAGCAAGGCACTGTTTTGTTACTTATCTTTACAGTCCTAGCATAATGGAGCCCTGATTGGCATTCCTAGACACTACTGTAAAATAAAAATAAAAATCAGAGTTAGCTGGATGCAAAATCTTGCTCACTTTAAAATTATGGCAAAATATATTTTCTCCTATTGCAGCTGGGTTTTACTCTAGAAAAATGAAAAAGGAAGCCGATTGAGGTGTTATTTCACCTCAAACAAAAATGGAGCAAAACTGCTGTGAAGCACCTGATACAGACATATTGCTTTTGCAATGGAAGCTACCTGCATGATGCAAATATAAGAGTTTGAAATCCCTCATAAACAAGGTCTAATAGAAACAGGGACAGAGGTTTTTATAGTAACTATAACACCCAAGGCTGTGGATCCTGCTACAATCCCTCTTGCAGGCTAAGCAGGGCTGGCCTGGTTCTATGTTTGGAAGAGAACCTTCAAGGAAAACACACATTGCGTCAGTATGTGGTGCTGACTACTCCACGAGAGGCTCACTTTCTACAGAGTACAGAGCCAGGGCCGCAGCTTGTTACCAAAAGGTTCTATGCTGCTGAAACTCTTTTGGAAAAGCAACAACTACTAAAGAGGACCTTAGAATAAAGAGTCCAGGGTATTAACCATGCCAGTTTGGGTTATTACATCCTGCCTCCCTGCAGTTCTGATTATTCCCTTCCTGTCCTAAGACTGTTGTGAACAAATTCTGTGCATTGCTTGACAGCTGCCACATATCACCCTGGAGGTAAATGCAGTGAGTCTCTTATACAGTACGAATGCTAATTTGTGAAGTGCTTTAGTATACAACATTAGAACATACGAGCTGCCATATGGGGTCAGACCATGGTCCATCTTGCCCAGCATCCCTGTCTCTGACAGTGGCCCATACCAAAGCTTCACAGGGAGTGTACCAAACAGGGCAATTCTGGAGTGATGCAGCCCTGTCTACCAAACCCAGCTTCTGGTAGTCAGAGGCTTAGGGTCACCCCAAGCATAGGGTTGTCCCCCTGACCATCTTGGCTAACAGTTATTAATGGATCTATCCTCCATAAACTTACTACCCAGTTCTTTTTTGAACCCAGTTAAATTTTTGGCCCTCACAACATCCCGTGGCAATGAGTTCTACAGGTTAGTGGTGCATTGTGTGAAAAAGTACCTCTTGTTTGTATTAAACCTGTAACCTATTAATTTAATCAGGTGACCCCTGGTTTTTCTATTGTGTGAAAAGGTAAATAACACTTCTCATTTCACTTTCTCCACACCAGTTAAGATTTTATAGCTCTGTCATATCCCCCCTTAGTCATCTCTTTTCTAAGCTGAACAGCCCCAGTCGTCTTACTCTCATCTCGTATGGAAGCTGTTCCATACCCTTGATCATTTTTGCCACCTTTCTTAATTTTTTCCAGTTTCACTATACCCTTTTTGAGATGTGGTAACCAGAACTGGACTCAGTATTCAAGGTGTGGGCACATCATGGATTTATATAGTGGCATGATGATTTGGGGATCCTTTCGAATTAAACATAAATCTTCAATAATAGAAATCTCACTTGCCTTCCCAGGAACTGCACTTCGCCTCGATGATGGTGCGGAATTGACTTGTATTTCCCTGTGACTCCTCTTGGTCGAGTCACTGAGTAGCCTGCATACTGCACCCTGTATCATAAAGATAAGACTGACTGTTGCATTTGCTCCAAATTCAATACTCGCCAAGGCTGAACAATCATGAGCCACAACAGACTCGTCGTCTGTAGTAAGTACAAGTTTCCATTAGCTAGCTAAATAAAGGGAGAAGATTTCAACCAGTTCAGGCTTTGGACAAACTAAGCTGCTTTCAGTACATTAAATTTTAATTGAGAAGTCAAACTGATCCTCAGATTAACATCAACATGAGAAATAATGCCCAAGGCCAACAATTTCACAAAGTTACCTATGGCAAGAACTATACTTCCTCATTTTCTGTTAGTTACGAGCTTCCAATCCAATTTGCTTTAGTAGAATGGAATCAAACCTCAATCTATCCATTTATCAGGATACCCTAGAGGGCGTGATCATCTCTCCCCCTTCCCCCATGTGAAGAGGGCATGGAATAGCTCCACAGCCAATCCACACTGCCTGGGGTGGGGAGGGGCAGCTTCCCTTCACATGTTGTGTAAAACCCCTCTCCAGGTGATTGCAAAGCTGCTCAACCAAATTAAGGCTTTCAGGGGGCAGGCTTAGAGCCAGTCACAGCAGCAGATAAAATACCCATGCTTTATTTCACTCAGAACACGGCAGGCAGAGCCCTGAGGAGTGTCCACTGCCAAGAAGCTGGGTGCATGCACTGTATGCCTGAAGAAATACATCCCCAACCTGTGTGGCAGCACATTCCTGTACCAGGCCAGCCACTACTGTATTATCAATGATGGCAGTTTGTACAACATGCATCAGGTGTTACGAGTTAGATGCTGTTACAAGAACTCAATGAACAGAAGAGTCACACCATAGGAAAGTCTGCATGGAAGTCTGTCCATCCCCCTAGCCTTTGGGAAGTGGACTCAAGCCAAGACACCACATCAGTACCTGTTCCAAAGATCGTCATCCTCTCCGCCCCAGCCCCAGAACGCATTAGGAAAGCCATTGATTTTCCGAAACTGTTCCACTGTTAAGCCACTCACTCCACCAAAGAACTCATTATAAGGGAGCCTAAATAAAAGAGAGTGCATTAGTCACAACAGGTGTGAACAGTGTCTCAGGTCAGGGCTGATGCAATTGCCTGCTCACAGACTGTCAGAGCAGCCATTCTCCTGGATGCAGCTGAATTAAGCCTTGAGCTATTGGGAGGTTTGCCTCTATTTCTGCTATGTTTACTTGCACAAAACCTGGAAACCAAACTGAAATTAATCTTTTTAAAATCTAGCTATTGGCTTTTTATCCATTATTGCATGAAGGGGGAATATAGGTCCTTACAGATACATATATTTATCCAGCTTGGCTGCAAAGTGTCTTGGCATCTGTCCACATCCATAATAGTTACGGTCATTTTCTGGTATATGGTCCACATCATGAAAGATCAGACAATCCCAGTCCAAGTCCTTCATTGCTTCCCGAAAGCCAATATTGAAGAGCATGGCACGGTTAAATGGTTGGTTACCAGCCTAGGAAATAGAGTTATTTCTCAGAAGCAGCTCAATATACAATTTATTACACAAACACACACACACACACTCTCTATGTTCACTGTAAGTACATGTTCGGAAGTCAGTCATTCTTTTCATGGCCTCCTACACAAACTCAAGAGGGAAAAAAAAACCCTTAAATTCCTGCTTTTGTAACCCTCTTGCCCTGGTTTAACAATAGATATATGTGCTAAACAAACCTCATTTATTCTAATACACTTTAATTTCCCAGAAGCTTTCAGAAAGTGCCTGCGTCCAACATAGCATTCAGGTGAATGGCATATTATGAGAAGCTAGGTATTGTACACACATCAACGTTAGGAGGTAACCTTTGAAAGCTTATGATATGTACTCTGCCTGATAAACAAAAACACACAGGACACACTTTGGAGAGTGAAATTTATTGTGCAATAACTGGGGGCAGAAGGCAGTAAATAGCCTTTTATATGTGGGATGCATTGGGCAGCAAATCAGTCACGCAATAGCAAGTTTCATGTTCCAGTGGTTATTCCCACTGGTGATGGCTTAGCCTGGAAAAATACATTGCATATACATGGGAAATGACTCACTTGCTCAATGACATAAAACGCGAACTGTAAACGTTGGCGCTGCAGCATTGGAATAAGGTGCCTAAAGAGAACTGGAAGATGCTCATAACGATTGCGGAATGGTATCAGGATTGCCACCTAAGAGATAGAAGACATCAGGTAGTTATTATATTTGGAAACCAGCTTTCACTTTGGCAGACCACAAACCTACAGCTCAGGGCATTGGGTGTGCCTGAAGCCATGTGCATGGGTGTTTATAATCACAGGACCATAGACAGTGTTGATGGGAAAGGACTAACAGATCTAACCCATTTCCTGGGGCTGCCATGAAGGATTATTTTATAGTGCAACATACAACATGGAGCACACAATTGTGTGTTGGCCATTCACTCTCATGCCTCCTTTATTTTGTGCATTTCAGTACTCTAGCTTTTTAAAATAGATACTGCTTTGGAGAGATTAAGTTTCTTTCAAATATTAATTAAATTTCATGCTGGGTCAGGGGAGAGAGACTGACTGCACTGGAGACTTAAATCCTCTACCAACTGAATAGGTAGAGCACGATTCTCTTACACCATGCTGTTAATGTGTCTCCACCCTCACAAGCAGGGAACCCCTCTAGCAAAGAAATTCATGGTCTCCAAGGTCCATGTTACCCTTGGTCTTTCTGGGCTAATTCTTGCTCAAAACCAGAGGTAATTTTGGTGATCTGGATACCTATCAGTTAGAAACTAATTCATTACACAAACCACTAAACAGCCATCTGCACGCAACACATTTCAGACCTATCAGCTGATCTGGATTTGAACAGTTACAGAGCTGACAGGCTCCACATCCCATTAGCAACATACACCCCTCTCCAAAACTTTCTTATAAAAAAAATGAAGTGCTGACCCATCTGTCACTAGGTAACAGGTTCCTGAAGCTACGGGTTTATAGAGGACCGCTGTAGCCAGACAAGAAATACCTGTGATGTTACAGGCAGCCCTACATTATCTGTGATGCAACTAAAGATATTTTTCTTTAGAATGGCAAAATGTAACCATAGCCCAGTTCTTGCCAATACCATTGTTTGTACTCCTTTGTACTGAACAAAGGCATCCCATTTTAATGTAGCTTGTGGCTGTTTTGAGGCTACAGTTTACCTTCCAGCGAGGCAGGCAGTCATCAGGTTTCCAATGGCCTCCTAGCTTGATGCCCGGGTCTTTAGAGAATAATTGATGGATATCCTCCATTCTGATTTCACTCATATTTACATCAATTGGGCCCTCTGTGTACACAATGGAAAGAAGAGGTCAACATTCCAGTCCCAGCAAGAGAAGGTGCATCTCAGGCTTCTCACATACTTCGGTCTCATGGTCCTACATCATCCGTATGCATGCTTCTGCCCACTTCACTTTTCATACACTTTTATTACTAGGGCTGATTGCAAAATGGGTCTTTTCCTGTCAAGTATCAAAAAACTGCCACAGTACCTCATGATCTCATTCTCCTTTATAAGTTGGGCTCCCTGGTCAGACTACATCTCCCATGATGCATCAGGGTCTTCCCTCTTGTAGAGAGGCAGTGCATCATGGGAGACTTTGGTTGTGATGCATAATAGGAGTTATTGTCTGGCCAGGGAGCCCAGCCTTTAGAAGAGAATGGGAGGATAAGGCACTGCGGCATTTCCAAATCAAAATAATGAGATTCAATGGAGAAAAAAAAAATCAATCTTGAGCAGAAAGAGTCTTCTCACAGGAAAGTTTTGTTTCATCAAAAGCCAATTTTCAATTTAAAACAGTTGACAAAATTTTTCTAGTTTCTTCTTTCCTCACTAGCATTTGGATTCCCAACACTCCACCTTAGTCACTATTTTCTGACCATAGCTCAAGGAAGAGACACTTTCCCAATTAAATTCAAAATAGGATTTTTAGAGGATAGTTTGGTGGTCCAAATCATCGTATTCCATTGCTCGGTTTCTGGGACTAGTCCAGGTTGGCAAATATTGCAGTAACCCCCGTGAAGAGGTAAGGAGCAAGCACTTCTATCATTCCCTTAAAAAAAAAAAAAAAAAAAAAAAAAAAAAAGTGTCTCAGACAAAGATTGATTAGCTTTGGGAGTGTGGTAAAAGTGATTTACAGTATTTGTGCTTGCAGAACAACATTTCTGCTCATTCCCCACCCTCCTAACATAGCTAAATAAAAGAAGGTGCAGTACATAAGTCAGGAGGTAGAAAAATGGTACTAGAACACACCATCCAAAAACATGCAGGAACAAACAACAAGGACTCTGGAGCAGTTAGGTAAAGCGGTGAAGATCTCCTAGAAACCCACATGTGGGGGTATGAGGATATTCTAGTTGTTATCAGCATAGCTGCCGCACTCCCAAAGACTGCAGTGTACACCACACTGGGATGGTGCAGTACCTGTAATAAAACAGTACGCTTTTCCTACCTCCTCCCACTCCCACAGGAAACAGGTTTTATAGGTTGTAACCTGGAAGGAGGGGGCAGCATGGAGATGGAGGATAGGGAGGGGAGGAAGATAACGAGTCACAGCACTACTCACTCATAGAAGGGAGTCTCTCGGGACAGGTATGGTTTGGAAAGTAGGTAAAATCTTCAGGAAGAAAAGTTGTGGTTTGCAGAAAGGTTTCACTGTGGTTCAAATCAAGAGGATAATCTAGGGAGGGGAAAAGAAAAAGCTACTTGAGCTCTAGGTTTTTCCATTCTCCAATATTCTATTACTAACAAAGCCATTTAGTATCAGAGGGGTAGCCGTGTTAGTCTGGATCTGTAAAAAGCAACAGAGTCTCCTGTGGCATCTTTAAGACTAACAGATGTATTGGAGCATAAGCTTTCGTGGGTGAATGCCATGCATCCGATGAAGTGGGCATTCACCCACGAAAGCTTATGCTCCAATACATCTGTTAGTCTTAAAGGTGCCACAGGACTCTCTGTTGCTTTTTACAAAGCCATTTAGCTGACTATTTCACAACTACAGTGTATTGATGGAACTTCAGCTACAATGAACTGCAGGCATTTCCACACAGCTTTATTCCTTGATATGTCATGATCAGACTACAGTTTCTTGGCCTAGCCATTTCAACAGACAGCGTGCACATGGCAACAGGTGGACATTTAGGAACTGTCCCAACATTTCTGCTAGACAGCACAGCTGAGGCTGAAAGGACCACAAGAGAGGCATATGGGCCAAGTTATGCAGAAGGTTAGATTAGACTATCATAACGATCCCTTCCGGTTTTGCAACCTATAAATTATTTGAGTTGTATCTTTTCTTATTAGACAAGATCAGACTGAAGTAGAAGGTTGGGTGAAGGAGAAGCAAGCACTGCTTGGATCATGCCTTTCCTAAGGGCACACATGCCAACTCCATCTCCAGATCTATCCTCCAAGCCTGGCAACTTCTTTCATGAATGAAAGTTTGCATATCTTGCATAATTCTACTTTTCATTCTCTTAATGTACCGCTTAAAAAAAAAAATCCAACGTTAGGTGCAGCCTTTTATTCAGTTAACTAAAAATAAAGAGCAAGTGAGGCTGACACTTCAGCAGGCCATGACTGTATCTGAAGAGCATGTTTCTCCAAAGCAGCTCTCTTATTTCTCAGTTAAGTGTAAACACATTTATCACTTTGTGAGTTTCATTTATTTTAAAAAGGTTCTGGGCCTCCAGGAAGTGTATTTCTGTTTTCTACAGACAATGCATGCTCCATTCTTTTCCAAAGTAAGTGTTTCACAAATCGCCACTTTAGGCAACTGCTGAGATCAAAGGGGAAGTTATAATTGCTTTCAAACATTAGGAGAAACTTCTAAATTAGCTGTACCAAACAAGACCCCTAAATCACAATACTGTACCTCTCATAAATTGAGGGTTTGAGGATCAAGACATTCTCTGCAGAATCTGCCTTTTGAGTCAAATGTCATCTCACTTTACAAAAGGGGAAAAAGCCAGGGGACTGGGTTTTATGCCTGCCTCCTTGGAGCTGGCTGGGGACGAGGAGTGAGTGCAGATGTGGGTGTCTGGCTCGCTGTCCCCCAAAATGGACCTGGCTGAGGGGTCCTGTTCTCTGTACCTACAAGCTCTGTTTTAGACCGTGTTCCTGTCATCTAATAAACCTCTGTTTTACTGGCTGGCTAAGAGTCACGTCTGACTGCGAAGTTGGGGTGCAGGACCCTCTGGCTTCCCCAGGACCCCGCCTGGGCGGACTCGCTGTGGGAAGCGCATGGAGGAGCAGAGGATGCTGAATGCTCCAAGGTCAGACCCAGGAAGGTGGAAGCCGAGTGAGCTTCTTGCCCTGAAGAGAGTTCCCCACTTAGAGTTATGGACAAGTCATTTAACACCTCTTTGCCTAACTCAGAGGAAACAGTTCCCAAATTGTGTTAAGTGCTGTGCAAATAGAACAAAAGGACAGTTCCTGTCCCAAAGAATTTACAGTTTAAACAGAGGCCATACAATACATTGCACATACAAGTACATTGTATGATCTGTTAACATCACATGGCCAGAACTGATATTCTTGCTGGACACTGAATCAGTCTGGATAACTATTTTACAAATCAGGGGTTTTTTAATTTAATTTGTTTTTTAAAATAAACCCCAATTGAAATTAACAACCTGTGTTAATACCTAAATTATAATCTATTAAAATTAAATAAATGATTATCATGCTGAGTCAATGAACCCTCAAATTTTTATGAATTAAAGGGAGCTGCTTTTTTAAAAAAAATTATATACAAAAATCAAGGGAAAAACATTAATTTTTTATGTCAACTCAAGCCTTAAATAACATCTTCGTGCTATGCACCACATTAAGTACCTATATTCTTTTCGGTCATTATAATGGAGCAAACACTGGTATTTACATTTTTCCAAAGCAAGTGCTTTGTGGAAAAAGCTGTTGCCTTAATTACTTTTGGTTCAGTCAAGCTAGCAAGTGTAGCGAGACTATTTTCTTCATTTGGACTATTTCATTTAAAGTTGAAAAACCAACTGGGAATTGAAAAAGCAGGAAAGCTTATTTTCTTCTCCCAATCCATGAATAAAAACCAGGTGGGCAAGGATGAAATCTACCATTTTTTAGAATTAGGAGGTGATGGGGCCAGATTTTTGAAGATATTTAAGCACGTAAAAATGCAGATAGATGCAAACTTGAATTTTCAAAAGAAAATAAGGAAGTTAGGTGCTTAACTCCTATTGGTTTCAACTTTATTGATTTAAATGAGAGTTAGGTACCTCATCTGCTTAAGTGCTTTTGAAAATCCCACGAGGCCTCTATCTGTATCTTTAGGCACCTAAATACTTTGAAAATCTGGCCCAATGTGACCAGAAACATTTATTAAATCCGCTTTAAATACAAAGTGTGCTTTGATGCACTTTTTCCTTTCTGTATACTGTATATTTGAGGTAGTTTATTTAACTAAAAACAGTTTTAAAATTCTCTTTTTGTACATTTACTTGAATGTCAATTTCTACCCAAATGCAACTTGACACAAATCCAGAGGGGAAAAAATGTAGTAAAGAATAAATTTTTTGTTAGAAAATAATTTTTACATACCTTGTTCACTAAGAACCTGAATAAGTGTTTAAGCTATATAATTGCTTAAATACCTATAGATGTAGTCTAACCTCCTTCTAGCAAAACAAAAGTACCTACTTAATTGTAAAATATATATTTGGTTTCAAATCAACATGTTTTAATGGTTACACCAAACAAAGAAAACAAACTTTTCTTTAGAAAAGTAAAGTACAAATGCAAAACAAGATTAAAAATCAATTATTTAAATCAAAGTTTCCTGCTTGCTGATTTAGATCATGCTTAAAATGGGTGATTAAAATAACTTGGAATAAAATCAATCCATCCTGCACTAAATTAACTACAATTCACTGTTTCAATATTTCAGGTTCCTTCCTCTCACTACTGTATGGCATTCTCGTGCAATTAGCTCAGTTTATCAGAGCGAGTAGTAATTGCACAGTTTTATTCAAAACTAGAAAGTGAAAGAGGCCAAGATGGAATTGCAAATAAACACTGACAGCCCAGGGCATATTATTAGAGTCTAGATGAGCCAATTTATCTTAGACACTTGTTATTGCTATGACAAAACAAATTCCCATTAAAATTACACTGGTAGTACACCCTCTATATCGGGGTGGCCAAACTGTGGCTCATGAGCCACATGCGGCTCTTTTACTGTTAAAGTGCAGCTCGCTGAGCTCCCCACAGCCCTCCCATTCTGCACCTATCAGACTAGGGGTGGGGAAGAAGCTCGGGCCTCTACCTTGCAGCGGGGTGGTGGGGTAAGGGCTTCTGCCCAGTGGGAAGGGTGGGGTCTTGGACACAGGCACCGACTTTCCAAACTGCTGGGGGTGCTCAACCCCCAGGCTGTGCCCCCACTCCACCCCTTCCTCCAAGGCCCAACCTGATCCCTTCCCGCCCAGTTCTCCCCCTCCCCGGAGTGCGCCATGTCCTCGCTCCTCCCTCCCAGAGCCTACTGAACACTGTGAAACAGCTGATTGTGGCAGGCGCAGGGAGGGAGGGGGGAGGCGCTGATCTGTGGGGCCTGCTGGCGAGTGGGAGGTACTGAGGGGATGGAGGGAGCTACTGGTGGGTGCTCAGCATCCATCCTTTTTTCTCCACACCTGGAGTACCCAGAGAGTCGGCACCGATGGTCTTGGGGCTTCTGCCCAGCGAGGTGCACCTGCCGGGGCTCGGGGCTTCACAGGAGCAGAGCTGAAGCCCCAAGCCCTGGCCCCCGGCAGGTGTGTCTCGACTCTCAAACTTCTGAAGATTATCATATGCGGCTCAGAGGGTCACTAAGTTTGGCCACTCCTGCTCTATATCTTGCACCACTTTTCTCAGGTCTCTATAGACAGTATCTTGTACTGATGCATGAAGAGACTCAACTCCTTTTCTTTATGCCTGGAATGTGTAGCTATTGCCTTTGGTGTCTGCCAAAATGCAAGAGGGAAGATAGCTGCTCTCCATCCACCCAACCCCTGTGCATCCAGACTCCCTCATACCCAGAACCTCTCACTGAGCCTCATCCCCCCCACACTCGGAACCTCCCATCCCCCCAATGAGCCCCACTCCCTCGAATCTGGATCACCCCAACGAGCCACTCGGATCCCCACCTCACTGAGCTCCAACTAGCTGCACCTGGATCCCCACCCCACTGAACCCCACTCTCCCAGCATCTGAACCCCTCCCACTGAGCTCCTTGCACCCAGATCCCCCACCGAGCTCTATCCCCCCCACACATCCAGACCTCCCCTGCTGAGCCTCAACCATTTTCACCTGGACCCCCTTGCAGAGCCCCATTACCGTTGCACCCAGAACCCCCCCCCAACAAACACTTGTGCAACCAGAACCCCCCACTGAGCCTCCTGCACCCAGACTGCCCCACACAGAACCCTCTCAATCCACACCCAGATCCCCCCACACTAACCCCTCCACACTTGGATCCTGCCTTGTTAAGCCAGCCTGCCTGCACAGAGGGGCAGGGCCCTAGGGTATTTCTGGGGCAGGCCCTGTCCTTGCACTGTGTCAGGGTTGGGTGCAGTCTCATAGCTGAGTCCATGTCCCGGGGTGGGAGCTGCACAGTGATCTCCCACCTCTGTGCAGCCAGTGGCCTGTGCTCCCCAATGCCATGCTGGAGTCTCCACATTTATTTGACAAATAAAATTTGCAGAATTTTAAAATATTATGCACAGATTTTTTATGGGGGTTTTTTGGGATGCAGAATGCCCTCAAGAGTAATGATATACCATATATGCCAGTAGTTTTCAACCTTTTTTAATCTGCGGACTCCTAAAAATTTTTGAATAGAGGTGCGGACCCCTTTAGAAATTCAACCTGTGGTCTGTGGACCCCTATTATAGAAGCCTTAGACTGAAATATGACTGAATAGAATTCAACTATAAATGCGGCACATGCGTGGCATGGCATTTGACGAATTTTGAGAAAAAAGGCACTAAACGGTGGGCTTCTATGGTGACAACAGTTCTGGGTTTTGATCTGTAGGTGGGGGTGTTTACATACTTTTGATTAATCAGAAAAACAATTCCTTTTCTGAAATCTGAAATTTTATTTTCATAGACACCTTTCGCAGACCCCTTAGACAGGGTCTGCAGACCACAGGCTGAAAATCACTGGTATACACCACTAAACACAAAACCAACCAGGTCTCCTGTTTAATAGCCAGCGCTGCGCCATGACCACACAAGGCACGTTAAAGCGCGGCAGCGCTTTAGTGTTGCCAGTGTAGACTAGCCCTGACACTAGTGCGCTGAGGTGTGAACAATCCCATTCATTTCAGTGGGTGGCAAACCAGACTTTCACAAACTGCAGGGCTCACAAACCAGGAGGGGCCCAAAGAGCTAGCTGGGGAGGGGCACAACCGATGTATAAAAGATGTGTACGACTTTACCACCACATGGAGCAGTAGAGGAAGGAAGGGATTCAATTGGTTTCTTTTTCCTTAATGTGTGGGCTAAGCTTTCAGAAGTTAGATTAAAATAGATTTTTCCAATTTTCACATATTAAAATAGACTGAACTGAGTTGCCATATCCAGTGGAAATTCTAGTCTTTTAATCAGGTAGTGAAGACTAAGTACGTGGTGAGCTACCTGTTGCTTGTTAATGCATTCACAAATTACCCAATCTAACTTTACGGTAGAAAAGCTTAAAGGATGTGACCTATCAAACACCACAGCAACTCTCACTCCCTATTTACAAAGGGGAGGCAGAGTGAGTATCCTGGATTTTAGTCATAGAAGTAACATTTCTCTTGTAACACTCTTGACCCACTTGTTCTCACTAGTGAAACCCAGTGACACAGCAGGGATTCGCCCTCATGAGGTGCGGTGCTTATCTGAAACTCACTGTTATTCCAGCCTGATACTGCATGAAGGTAGGTCAAAACTTTCGCAACAGTGACTCACTTGTTCTGTGTTAACACTGAAAGGAGCAGTTTCAGTGGGACATCAGTTTTCCTAACTCTTAGTTTTAGAAAGAAATGCCTTCAGCGCTTCATTCTAAATGTAAATGGTTACTTATAAAGGGTTTGCTAGTATAGTTTATACCATTTCCCCCAAACAAAATAAGCTATAGAAACAAAGGGGTTTTTTGCCGGTATAACTGTGTCTATTTATAGTAGGGATTTTGCTGGCACAGCTAGGTTGGTCAGGCGTGGGGGGTGTGCATGTGACCAAATTAGCTATGCTGGTAAAAGTCCTAAATTTGAATTCTTTATGTAGCTAGAAGAGCAAGACACACTATATATTACCTAGACCAGTGGCCCCAAGTTCTCCTAACTTACAAACTACTTGTTTACAAAATCAGACAAAAATACAAAAAAGTGTCACAGCACACTATTACTGACAAATTGCTGACTTTTATTTTATAATTATATGGTAAAAATGAGAATCAATTGGAATATAAATATGGTACTTACATTTCAGTGCATGTATACAGAGCAGTATAAACAAGTCATTGGCTGTATGAAATTTTAGTTTGTACTGACTTCTTTTTATGTAGCCTGTTGTAAAACTAGGCAAATATCTATTTGAGTAGATGTACCCCCTGGAAGACCTCTGTGTACCCCTGGTTGAGAACCACTGACCTAGACCAGTGGTTCTCAAACTTATTTGATCGCAACCTCCTAATTTGTGTCTGTAGTTGCTATGGTAGGGTGAGCACACTTTCTAAAAGGAAAATGGAACACCATGTGGGGCTCACCCGAGCCCTCCTTTCCCTCCCACCACGCAGAGCTGGCCCGAGCCCCTCCTACCTGCCATAGCCCCATCGCTCATCCCACCAAACCCTTTTTTGGCAAAACTGGGTATTTGTCCCATTTGCTCTTGCCAACTGATCATCAAAAAAAAGTTGGGATGTCTGGGACAGGGCTTAAAAAGGGGATGGTCCCAGCCAAAACGGGCCATATGATCACCCTCAGCTGTGGTAAGAGCTGCCCAGAGAGCCCAGGCTGCTATGGCAAGCCCCAGATCCTCCACCTGCCCTGTGCAGTGTGCCAGGTGCCCGAGAGCAGCCCTCAACCTGGGTCCCTGCCCCCTGGGGCACGCCGCCCGGAGCAGGTGGAGGGTCTGGGGTTCCTCACAATGGCCCAGGATCCCTAGGCAGCTCTTACCACAGCTTGGATCTGGCTTCTGGCCTGGCCAGAGGGGAGCTTGGGGGAAGGGGAGGAGGAGGGGGCCCCATGGTGAGGGGGAGTTGGGGGAACCCAAATGTTCTTTGTGCCCAGGGCCCCCATAAATCTTAATCCACCTCTGCACAGCCGACACTGCTACAGCAATTTTACATGACACTGCCATCGGTTTGGCTTGGGCTACCTAAATTAAAACACAATTGGGATGGTGTAAGAGGTGACAGGCACCTAAATTCCCTCTCTTCTAGGCTGCAAGGTTTTTTTTTGTGTCTCCTAGGAACATAACAAAATTGCACTACTTGTCTAAAGAAAAAAAGATAAAAGGATGAAGACCAGATTAAGAGAACTGGCAGGGAAATTCCTTGGGGGAGATTTAAATATAGGCCACTTTTGGAGGCGGAAGATGGACATGTATGAAGAGCAATTTGGTTCAAATGGATCACTAAAATACAAAGGTGGTATATCCAAAGCTGTCAAACCAGCATTACATTAGAGGGAATACAGTGTAAGCAGTTAAAAAAAAAAAAAAAAAAGTCAGGGGGCTTGTAGTCGGAACCCCTGTATCTATTCCCACTTCTGAAACAAACAATTTAGGGCAACTTCAGGTCCTTTCTTGCCTGTGAACAGCGAGACTCATAAGCATATGCATTTCTGTGTTACCCCTTCAAGAAAACAAAATGTGATTTCACAGATGTCACTCACTGCATCTCTAGAATGCAGATGGAAGAAAAAGGATGCAACCCATTCTTGTCTTGTTTTGTAAATACCTCAGTTACTAGAGGCATCTGAGGAAAGGGCCATATAGACTATTATATTTAGATCACCCTCTATATTATATTATAGAGGGTGACCTAAAAGCAAACTCTCCTCTCGTGTCTACCCATGCATTCATTCCCCTAAGAAAAACGGTTTAGACTGAGTCACTTTCCAATGGTAATTGGAATTCTAATCAAATTGACTTAATTACTAAAAATATACCTGAGTCATTCATGCTGCTGTTCCTCTTGGCATAGGCACTGCGGACCACCTGCTCATAAACCTGAGCTCCTATTGTTCTCATATTCTCACGAATCATGATGCCTTGGGCTTGCATCATGAAGAGGTAGGTGTTCACTGAAAGAAATAACCAGAGAGATTAAATTAGCAGCAAATTTTATAGGTAAGAGAAACTCAAATACTGAACCCTTTTTGGAACCATTCTGCTTCACCTCAGTTTCCTTGAGTCAAAAAGCTCTTTGGGGGGGGACACATGCCCAAGTTACCCGATGTGGGATGGGAAAGATCATACAATTTCACAAAACTACATCTAAGGCATATTTCAAAATATATCTGGAACAATAAAAGGAATTTAAACTATTTAGTCCTAAAATCCAGGACTATATTTTATAGTTAGAGGCTACATTCCTACTAAACCCTGATATCACTGGGTGACGTTTTTAGTAAACCAGGAAATACAGGACTTTGTAAGTAGGGGACTTCAATAAGAGTGAATTAAGGGTTTTGGTGCTGATGGTGCACTACAGCCTGATTAGCAACAGAAATCAGCACATAAACACGGAATTTATTCCATTTTCATTAGCCTTGAAGCTCACCTTTAGTCAGTATACTAGCAAAGCCCGTCTGTTGGGATGCTTAGAACTAGACTAGTAAGTAGTAATAACTCTACCTTTACTCATCACGTATCTTTTTACATGTTGCTAAGTCCTCTGCTGCCTTTTGTCTGGTCCCCTTCTGCCTTTTCCAAGGCCCCTATGTATCATGTTTGGACATATGCATTTTTGTGCCACCAGCCATTTTGGACAAAAAAGGATTTTTTAAAAATAGATTTACCCTTACTGGCAGCATTACTAATAAATACAGATGGCATATGCCTTTCCTGGCTTTCCGAGGAACATATAGAGAACTTACAGCAGAGCTGTAAGATCTCCTGCTTAGCTGCTCTATCCCAATGGGAGAGCTCTCCCATCGACATCATTAAACCATCCCCAACAAGCAGCGGCAGGTATGTTGGCAGGGAGGCTCATGCCAACATAGTGCTGTCCACATTTACACCGACAGAAGTGCCACTTATGTCTCTCAGTAGGGTGTTTTTTCACACACTGGAGCAACATAAGTTATACCAACAAAAGTGCTAGTTTATACACAGCCACAGTCAATTTCTAAATAAAGTCTATTTGAACAACTGCACCAAGGCCACAGATTATTAATGACAAAGAAGATGTATCCTAGAAGCGAGTTACATTGTAGAGCACAGAAAAGAGCAGAGCATCTCACCCCATAGGCTGCCACTAGCCTGATAGCAGAAACCCCTACCACAAGGAGGGGGTTAGCCATGTGGAATGGAATAAGGGAAACTGGAATAACGGGCAGGCATGTAATAGTCTGTGAGGGGATTTCTATCTATTTTTAAAGAAAATTGCTAAAAGAATTGTGTAGAAAGAGGAAATTTTATACCTGGTCCAAAATTAAAAGACAAATAAGGCTCACTGACAAATTTACATAGGTTTTGTAAAAAGTGTGGTAAAGAAGTCTACATACATTCTCCTTCTGGTTTTATCTTTCATTTACATTTTAATATGCTACAATGAATAATTCCACAAAAGGCCGTGGGGTGGCTCAGGAAAACGTGACAACTTAATATTCTGATCTTCTGATGGCTCAGCTGATGAGGCATGGTTTTTGGCAAGTTCCTAGGAGAAGCAGGAGTTTCTGCCATTTGGATAGTGACAGTTTATGGAGTGAGATGCCTTTTTTCCTTTCTGTGCTTAGTAAAAACTCTTTTGGACAACTCAGAGAAGAGGATACAATGACCCAGGTGTCATCCTTGGCACATAAAAGCTCTCCTCAGTGTACATGCCATGGCAGTGCTTTAACGTGGCTTGTGTAGTCATGCAGAGCTGGTGCACTATTCACTGGCACTTTACAGCGCTGAAACTTGCTGCACTCAGGGGGTGTTTTTCCACACCCCTGAGCGAGAAAGTTGCAGTGCTGTAAATTGCCAGTGTAGACAAGCCCTGAGTATCACTGCTCTAAACCATGCAGTCCCATCTTTGCTTTGAGCAAAATTCTATCTAATCAGCAGTGTCTCTAATCTGTTTCTCAGCACTTCCGAGGATGGTCACCCCCTTATTTCAAGAGACTGTTTTCCTTATAGCCTAGCAGGCCTCAGTGATAAGTGTCTTCCTCTGTGACTAGAATGTTCCCAATGTCTAAGATCATTACTCTATTTTATCTCTACCCCAGAGGACAATCACCCCCTTTAACCTCAGATAAGATGTTGTATAGCACTTTGAGGGTGAAGCATTATGCAAATACTATGTATTTGTTATTGTATTCCCCAACCCTTTAATCAGGTTTCTTGCTGGCTACAAGAAGAATTCATTTTCACTAGTCTTTTCATTGTCAGATCTTCAGTTCCCTTTTGCCACTTTGCATCACAATTCTAATGAGATTTAAAATGTTTGTATTCATTTTTGGGGCTTGAATAGAGGAAAAAACAGACTGTTTGAAAGTAGAGGAAAAATGCAGGTTAAATTAACCCAACACAGGTAAATGATTTAAACAGGGTATTTAAAAGTGACCCAAGGCCCCCTGAAGCAGTGAGATGGAAAAGCTATAAGGAGAGATGAAAATACTAACAAGTTAAGCAAAGATGACATCATTCATTAAAAAGGAGGCCCTCAGCACAAGGGTGAGCAGTAAACCAACAAAATACCTCTGAACCCAAGGACAAGGACCATACATTTTTGTAACAAGCAACTGGCTTTCTGTAGCAACATACAGCACAAAGGATTAACTTGGAAAAACAAAGGTTGGCTCATACCAGGAAGCTCCAAAGCTTATTATGCACCCACTCAGTCACTGACAGCCCAGGTCAGAAAGGTTACTCTAGGGCAGTGGTTCTACTGTGCCCCTTTCTGAGTCTGATTTGTCTTGCGTACCCCCAAGTTTCACCTCACAAACTACTAGCTTACAAAATCAGACAAAAATACAAAAGTCACAGCACATTATTACTGAAAAAATGCTTACTTTCTCAATGTTACTATACAATTATAAAATAAATTGATTGGAATTTGTACATACATTTCAGAGCAGTATAAACAAGTCATTGTATAACATTTTAGTTTGTATGGACTTCACTGGTGCTTTTTATATAGCCCGCCATAAAAATAGGCAAACGTCTAGCTGAGTTGATACACCCCCAGAAGACCTGTGTGTACTCCCAGGCACTAGGGCACTGCACCCACATTCCCCAGTACAAAGTTCTAAACTGAGGGCATGTCTACACTATAAGCACTACAATGGCCCAGCTGCAACCCTGCAACTACACCACTGTACCCCTCAAAAGGTGGTAGTTATGTTGATGGCAGAAATCTTCCATTGACCTAGCTGCGTCTACAGTGGGGGTTAGGTCGACCTAACGATGTCGCATGGGTAAGGCTGAGAATTTTTCACAGAGGTCACGGATTCCATGACTTTCCGTGACTTCTGCAGCGGCCGGTACGCCTGGCCCAGGGGTCGCCTGAGCAGCTCAGGCAGCTCTTGAGAGAGTCGCACCGGCCGCTGCTGGGGCAGTCTCAGGCCACCGCCTCCCACCCCCCACCCCCCGCAGAAGCAGGAGTTTGGGTGTGGGAGGGGGCTCAGGGTAGCGCTTACCGCGGGGGGGTCCCCAGAAGCAGTGACATCCCACTCCCTCAGCTCCTAGGCGGAGGCGTGTCCAGGCAGCTATACATGCTGCCTCCACCTGCAAGCACCACCCCCGCAGCTCCCATTGGCCGTGGTTCCTGGCCAATGGGAGTTGCGGAGCCAACGCTTGTAGTGGAGGCAGTGTGCAGAGCCGCCTGGCCACACCTCCGCCTAGGAACTGAGAGAGAGGGATGTCGCCGCTACCAGGGAGGCGCGGTGCCCCCCAGGGATGCGACCCCCTCTCCCCCAAGCACTCACAGTGCCCTCCGGGCCAGCCCCCCAAAGATTTAGTCAGGGGTATATAGTATAAGTCATGGACAGATCACAAGCCATGAATTTTTGTTTACTGCCCGTGACCGGTCCATGACTTTTACTAAAAATACCCATGACTAAAATCATGGGCAGCGAGTATAATAGGTCAGGGGAGAATCTGCCTCCCCCGGCGCTGCTGAGGCAGCCAGACCCCCGGTTGCGGGGTTTGGCGACAAAGTTTTTGCTTTATTATGCCCCATGCAGATTCCAGGATTGCCTCCTCAGCCGCCCTGCTGGGGCCAGGGGAGGGGCGCCTATCCTGCAGCCCCAGAACTCCCGCAGTATAAAAAATGCTGCCATTATTAGGAACCTTAAAATTATCCATAACTGGGACATGCGATTTGTTCAGATTACAGGAAGCCATATTAAGCACTGCAGTCTTTATCCATATAAAGCTCTTAAACAACTTCAATGGGAGTCATGGTTGTTCAGCAGGTCATGATCAAGCCCATAGATAGCCATGCTTAAGTCTTCAATAAGGAATTTCTGAACTGCACTCAAACCTCCCCAATAGACGTTATTAGCTTCCAAGTGGAGTTTCAAAGTTATTGATTTTTACCTATAAAACGGTGAGTAATTTGGGACTTTTCTACTTACAGACTGCTTCTCTCCATGCAAAACTGGCAAAGCTATGATCAGCAGAAGAACTCAAGCTACCAAATATCCTGTTGCTGTTTTGTCTACCAAAGAATGTGCATATGTACATATGCAGTTGCAGTGCTTGTTCAGGTTGAACTATGCTTCATCTATGCAGTAATTCTTCTTGGAATGAGATCTTGTTGATCTAATGCATGGCTAGTCTAAAACAAGCAGATCACAGGCCAAATCAAGATCACTAGATACTTTTGAACAGACTCTGAAATCTTTATTTATTTATTTATCATTATTGTTGTTATTTTATTATTTTCTTGAGTCTGGACCTTGACTATACCCTTGACCTAGAAATTTGGACCTTGACAAAAAATAGATTATCCCTGATCTAATGGTTCATACAGGATTATTACTATTAAATTATGTTTGCATAGTGCTTTTCATCTCATAACAGCACGAAGTAATTTACAAGCTATATTTATACCAAAGGTGGCAGACAACTGATATACAGCATGTTGCAAGAC